CAACTTCGATTAAATATAAATTTTAGATCAACTGATAAAAATGAATGTACATATAAAATTCACCAATTTTACCAGCTGTGAGAGTCGCATAGAGAAAATATTGCAGTACCATAGCGATTTTCCGCCAAATTTATTGATACATTTTCACACCCACACACAGAGTAAATGCTCTACTATTTGTTTATTGAATTTATTAATTAATCTTATTATTTATAAATATTATTAATTAATCCTCTAATCCTCTATCCTTACAGATAAACTTCATGTTTATCGAATTGCATGTAATGATTCCAAACCAGTTATTGTTCTGCAGCGCGGGACAAACTTCACCCATACGAAGATCATAAACAAGGCTGCCCCTGATCTTAGATCGCCTTATGACTTCCGGTGTTAGAAAATTCTAGTCTATTATTATATAATAACTCTGCTCCGGCTCCAGCCTCTTCCTGAGTTCTTCATTATCAGACTTGCTTTGCAGACTTGCCAAATCGGCTCCCATCTCACGGCACACGACACCCATCCAAGTTAGATTTGTATTATTTTCTATGTAATAGTATTTACGACCCATTTTTGGGAAAAGTTCAAAATGTTTAGTTTTAGGTTTGGTTTCTATTTCTTTCAGCTCCTTTGAGCTGTTTGCCAACTGTTTTGTCTCTACTCTTTCATCTTTTATCTCGATTTTCGTAATGTCTTTGGACTCACATTTCTGGATCTGTCTTCCCAAATTTTCTAATTTTTCTTCCACTAAGGCAAAGTGGACTCTTGTTTTATCCTCATAGGACTCAAATTTTGGCATCTGTCTTCTCAGAGTCTCTAACTTTTCATCCATTAGCTCGATTTTTGAGAGAGTTTCTATGGTATCTTTATCCTCATATGACTTCACTCGCTTTTGAATGATGGCGAGGTACTCAAGTCCGAGTCAATAAATAAAGCAGTCAATAAACTGAACGTTGCACTCCCATCGCAATGCTGGAAACGAGATCTCCCAAAGGTTATCGCAAGGAAAATGAAAACAAAGGAACGCCGCATTGATATTACTTATCTGAATGCAATCTTAAGGCAACTGGCACTTAAAGAGTTTTGTGGGGGTATTTATACTTGTTTCCATTCCGTCGTGAACTGATAATAAATTGGAATGGAATAATTACATATACATGCGATTAAGAAATTAAATCAGACAAATAATTTTAATCCATTAATTTAATTTAGTTAAATTAATTTAATAAATTATAGTTTACATATTAGATTAAATTTTTTGATTTTGATTGACATTTGGGATCAGACGAGGTGCAAGGGGCTTGCTCCACCTCTGTCGCGGGTTGGCCTGGTATTGATGGGGTTTTCAGATGAAAAATTTTCACACCCTTTGGTTTATAGATCAGAAAATGTAGTACTTTTACTCCTCTTATTGAGTTGCATGTCAATTCATGTCTAGATTTGACTCCATTTCCTTCAATTGTATGATGTTCATCGGAAAAAGAGATGAATTCCTTGATGTTCATCACATTCTCTGTGTAAAATGCAAATTCAATGGCAGTAATGTTGGATAGAAGGAGGAGTAGCAGCAGAAATATTGCTGAAGCCAGCAAGTGGCAGGCAAAGTGTGTCCTTGCCCTATGGCATCTGGCTTCTGACTCTATTGGCTTGGCGCCCCATGACTCTTGTTTCTGCCAACTCCTGCCTCTTTGGCGCTTGGCTTCAGGACTCCATTCGTGGGTCTTAGTACCAAGACTCCTTTTCTGCCTCTGGTTTCCTGAGACTCCCTTGTTTTGGGGGCATGGACAAGCTCCTTTTTGTAGTTTCTGAAGGCTATCCGCAAATTGTTTTGTCGTCTCAACGTCGTCGTCTCCGTCTTCGTTGTCAAGTCGTTTGTAAAATTGAAATGATTAATTGTTTGTTCCAAATGTTGGCACTTGTGCTTGTCCTTGGATCCGTGTCCGTGTCCATGTCCTGGATGAAGTCTCCCAGGCTTTTGTAGCAGTTGATTGCACGCTCAAAAGTTACAAAATCAAAATACGGCGCACACTTTTTTTCTTGATAGACCTTGGAATTTATACAAAAGGCAATTTCCATTGTGTTTTTCAGTGGGGGACGGTAGTGTGTGGCACGGCGAGTATTGGCAGTTTGACAGACTGTTGGCGACGGGCGACAGTTATTTGTCAGGATTTGGATATGGAAATCACTGAGTGTGATTGTGTGCGGAGATTGAATGGTGGTTTATCCACAGTGCATGAGCTATTTTCTTGATGGAAATTGATGATGAAGCTTTTAATAGATCCCTCCTACCTCCGACTAGCATTTTAGTAGGATTTCTAAAAAAGAGTACAAAGATAATTCAATCAAATACTTAAATTAAAACACAACTGTCCTCTATTGTACGCTTTAAAGAGATTCAATATTCGCAATATGTTCATGGTTTTTCTTTATTTTTTGTATACATGTACGTTTTGGGTATATAATATTTAGAGAGTCCATTGAAATATTAAATTTATTTCTAATATAACTGAAAGCACAAAGATTTAATTCTCTGAACTACTAGAAAGTTGGCTCAGTTGAATATCTTTTTTTTTGTACCATACATTATATAAATTTCCCTAAATATCCCTACATTTAAAACTCTAAAAGTCGTTTGGTATAAATAAGGAAATATATTATTGAAACCTGGTTAAACATATTTTTCCCTTTCAAATTTGTTGGATTAAATGCTCAGCAAAGACATTACACCAAAGTGTGTGACTTGGCTAAGGGATTTTGGCTCCTGGAATAAAATTTCCCCCTACAATCTTTTTTTCCGAAAAATTGTTTCCCATTTTTGTATGTTTGCCACGCAAACAGAAGAAAGAAAAAAATAAACATGAAAATATAGGGGGGGCCTTAACGGTTGAAGTCTGCGGTAAAACTAATTTCCTTTTGCTGGAGGAAATTATTTTTCCCTTTGGCATATTCATTATTATTTTTACTTTATGTTGAAAAATGTTTGTGAAAAATATGTACATAAATCTATACCACTTGCTTGCCATTTACAGTCATTTATCTGATACTTTCAATACATTCATTACGACATTTCATGACCCTAAAATCATTTGGGAAAAGTGTCATAAGGTACTTGATTGAATGTTTGTACTATAGCTTGATGACTGCTCCTAAAACACACAAAACCCAGAGAAAGACGGTCATCAAATGCTTTTGTTTGGCCATAGACGTTTTCTGAATTCATTTTCCTTTCTATCTCTATCTCTCTCACCATATATCACTCTCTCATGTGTCTATAAAACAAAAGAGCCCTCGATTTCCATCGCAAAGAGAAAATAAAGCAAAAACTTACATAAATGCCATAGAAAATGAAGAACCATCTAGGGAATTTTCCGTTGGGGAGGCAATAACTATAAAATGTTCAACGTTGCGTTGCGTCGCGTCGGAGTCCTGTAACCAAAGCGTGCATGCAGTCAACCAGGACATGGGAAGGGACACACGACTGAAAAAGGGTTCTTTCGTTGTCGCAGTCATTGAGCAAAGGATTAAAAAACAAGGCGAAAACAAAGTATTATCGCAACAGAAAAATCTCAGGCGCAAGAGGAACAAAACAAAAGACTCAAAGAATTGGATGGAGAAGAGAGGGCAAAAAGAACACTCCAGGAATTAAGGAAGGACCCAAAGACATTGATAAAAACAAAGTGAAAATTTATGCAAAATAAAGATAGGGAAACACCGCGAAAAAAAACCAAAAGAGACACCCCCAAAGTGGAAAGCCGGAAAACCCGAAGCATAAAGAAAGAGAAATTGAAATTGTTGCATAGATAAAACAAGGTAAAGGCCAAACCAGCGACACTTTTTTTAGAGTTAGTACTCCGTATTTAAGCCGTGTTTCAGGTTTGGTTTAAAATAGAAAAAGGGGTAGAAAGAGTATGAAAGACAGTTGTGGTGCTAAGATAGAAATAATCCAAGTTTAAGGTGATTTTTTGTTGGATTGTTAAGAAAAATGTGATGAAAACCGGGAAGGCAATGAGTTGTTTAGAGAATTGGTAAGATGTTGATTAAATATAAAGCCTAAGGCGGAATTTAATGCGAATATAAGTTCGAAAGTAAGGTTCTGGGATTCTTTAAATAGTAAAGATAATTTTTAAAGAAAAAACCATCAATATAAGTGCTCTTCTCCTTCACTGAAGAAAGTACCTTGTCCATCATGGAGAAACTTCCCCTCTTTATCATAAATATATTTCCCTTCTCCTTCCCTGAGAACCTTCTCTCATTCGCCAGGAAAATTCCTTCCCCTAACCACCAGTGACGTCACATCAACCTGTTAAACCTGCGGCGGAATTCTATCACACAATACAAAGACAGAGCAAAGCAAGGACCTAGCACAAGGCTAACAACACACACCCCTTTGATTGGAAAGTAGAATTTCCCCAGAAAGGAAAAAAGCCCCTTCCGGCAACCCTTGAACCGACAGCCGGCAAAAGCCGACAAACGACAAAGGACAAACGAAACGAAACGAAACGAAACACGGACGTATCCTCGAAGGCTAAGGTCAATTGCAGATGTTGCTGTCGTTGGCGGGGGAGGAAAAGGATACCAGTAGCCGGCTTTTCCAGTGAGGAAATTTCCCTCCTCTGCTGCTGCTGCTGCTGGCTTTCTGCCATTCAGGCTTGGCTCTGCTTGAAGGTCCTGTGTCAGTGCTTGTTGGTCTTTGTTGGCGCGCGTAAGGACTTACGGCAGGACTCTACGTTTCGATTTTCGCTTTTCTGTGTAATATTTTTCGCGTATTTTTTGTGCGGCCCAAAAAAAAAGGTAGCATTACATTCTTTAGAAACTGTGGATTATCCTTAAAGAAATGCTTTGCACTTTTTAAGTCGCCAGAAAATCAACGAAATGAATGGGAAATTAATTGAGAAAAAACAGTGAAAAATAATGTGAAAAACGAGTGAAAATCAGGAGAAAATCCAAAGAAAATCAAGTGAAAAATTCAAATAAAAAAAAAAGAAACCGTAATAATTCAAAAGAAAAGTAACCAAAATGAAATGTGAAAATCTGCTATGCAGAAACGTGGAAAAAGGGGGCTAGAAATTCGCGACACATGCAACACTTTATGCATAGGAAATTAGACCTCACACTCAGTGGCAAAAGTATGCAAACACATAAAGAGAAATTCAGAAAACCAGAAAAACCAAGAAAATGCCAAAAGAAAAACCAAACCTACTATTGAAATAATCATAAGCGAACCTCCTCCGGCTTATGGAATGTCTCTACGTGGCTGTGGCTGTTTTTTGGCCACTGCCATGACTTCCGTTTCCGTGTTTTAATGTTTACTTTGTGCCAACGAATGGGGCATGCCCCCAAAATCCCCCCACCCTCTTTCTCTGTCTCTGCTTGTATCGTGTGTGGTGTGTTTTGGATTTTTGAGGCTAATGTAGTGACATTTTGAGGCGCCTTCATATAATAGATAATAAAACGTAATGTCGCTGTCGTCTTTTTGGCTTACGCCAAAATGTAACGCTTTGAGGAAGTCCCATACTGGCGCCTCCGCTCTCTCGGGGGGTGGTGCCGACTCCTCCCCTTTTGGTGTGTGCGTGCCTTGGCCTGATTATTGCGCTTTTAGCCAGCTTCCTTCGTTTCCTTTTTTGTTGTGACATAAAAATCAGTTGGATAAAATCCCACACACAGCCCCTGCCCAAAATGCTATTGAGGGACTGGAATGGGCCTAAAATTAGATTGGATGATGTGCCATAATGAGGATACATGTTGTGCAAGAACGGCATATAGAGGGATGGATATATTTAGAGTAGATTTAGGGAGTATATTAATTTGTACAACATTGAGGAGGGAGTGCTGCAAAACATTTTTGATGTTTCCAACGGGTATGCCGACAAAAAAACAACATTTAAACTCAAAAGTAATCTCCATTGTAGCTATCAATGTCAATGACTAATTTTCAGGATTACCATAAGCTTTGAGGGGTATTCCATTACCAAGGATTACATTGATTCCGCTACGAATAATTGAATTTACACAATTTCAAGTTTAAATTACACAAATTGCCCATTCCCTTTGCTGTAATACGACTAATAAAACAGAGTTTTCTCGTGTAAAAATTGCAACGATTTCTGCTTTTCATTCCAATCAATCGAATCCACAAATGCGATGAGTATTTCCACACATCCTTTGCGCCAGAATACGTATATATATCCCTCTGCAAGTGCCCCGCTTTCACTCCAATTCACACGAAATTTTATTCCATTTTTGCTATGAGAATTGTATTTCCTTTTCCTTCAGGAAAGTCGAAGGAGTCTTTCTGTTTGCCTTACTTATTATGCGGCAAATGTTGTGTATGTACGTATGTGTGTTTGTGTGTGTACAAATACGAGTAAACGTGGAAGTACTGTAGATATACGGAAGGAAGTACACACAGGAATAAAACGTGTGTTTGTCTAATTTTTTGGTAGGGCAAAAAATTCATGGACGTGTGGTGAAGCATCAAAATCTGCTATCAGTTTAGATAAACAATATGTTTTTTGTCACCATTCTTGCAAGCAATTGTTGGGTATAGATTAGATACAATTTATAGATCTCTAAACTGGGGCGTACGAAAGTGTGTGGCAGAAGGATTTAGAATGGGTGAAAATGTAGTTGTTGGGAATGTGGTGGGGATACATTGAAATAGGCTTTAAGCCCCTCGTAGCCTTCTCTACGCCAATAAATAATTAAATGTAATTATCGTATAGTTTCCTATAATTATTGATCTTTGATCGGTACGATAACAATAAAATGTCTACAGATTCATTGATAGCCTTTGATAATAATTGTATCGAAATAATGATCGATAAAACATTTAACAAAATATCAATTATTTTATAGAAGCCTTCTTAATTAATTCCTTAATAAAATCCATAATATTTACACAGCAGCTACACAATTTTATCGATAAAATATCGATAATATACGTATCTCGATCAGTTATTTTGCATTAGCAACCATTGAACAATCGATATTCAATGAAACGTACTGCCTGTCCATACATCGAAAGGGGATTTCCGAAGTACAATTCAATTTTCCACTCGTAACAATTAAAGTCTCCTCAATCGCACTTGCATTGCTCCTCCCACATCCCACCTCCCTCCACAAAGACACACACATACACATTCCCCCCTTTGCCGGGCCACCCACATGTGTGCATTGAGCACCAGTGGGGGGCTCCCGCTCGAACATACTTCCGGCATTCAAACCGGAAGTACTCAAGCAAGCATGTAAAGGACAGAGACCGAAAAAAAAACAAGGGCAAACAAATCCCAAATAAACAAAAACGTTGCCAAACACACAAAAATGAAGAAAAAAACAAACAAGCAAGAAAAAGAAAGCAACAGAAGCTGCGTTGTACATATGTGTGGGTGGTTGTGTTTGTGTGTGTGTGAGAGAAAGAAATGCTTACGAAGCGGAAATTAAGACCCACTCCAGAGGGCAAAACAGAGCTGCTGCTGCTGCCAAAAAGTTCCGTAAACAAACACATGTCTCGACATGTCTCACTTTCTGTCTCTTTTGGTCTCATCCACACACAGACACACACACACACAGGACTTTCTTTTGCTCCCATACACATACACTTGGTAGAGAACTCTGTCTAAAGCCCTCCTTTTTCGCTACCAATCAACCTACACCCCTCTCGTCTTTCACCCCATTTTCTGCTGTTAAACAATCCCAAAACATATCACATTTTAATCCGATGTAGTGGAAAATTGCAACCAAGTGGGAAAATTGTTTTCCGCTACTCCTCCCCCCCCCCCCACGCTTTTTTCCGCTGCTTGAGAATTGATTGTATGCCATTTTTTTTGTAGAAACGCCTTAGCGGATTAGCGTTTGGGAAATGTCCTGTCCGCTCCGTTCCGACGTGCTGTGTTGCGTCGTGTCTTTTCCTCCGTTTTTTCCGTAATTAAAAACCCAAGCTAAAGTTCAATGTTTGTTCGCTAAAGCTATTTATGTTAATGGCTTTTCACGTACACCTGCTAAATCCTTACAAATGTCCTCCAGCAGGACTAGCTAGCATCTGCACAATTGAAAAGGAAGAGGCGTCCATTTGGAGCTTATTTATGAGCAAGAAACGTGACCATATGGATAGATGTTCCATCCTTACAGGAAAAGGACTCGCAGAATGAGAAAAATAACTCCCTGGCGAGGTTCAAGCTCATTTTTTGTTTCGCTCTGTTTATTTGTGCGTAAAATTTATGAAGTTGAAAATATGCTTTTGGTCTGCAGGCTAGAAAATTGTCGCGTAAATTTAAATAAGTGGAATCTTTATGCAAGGTGCCCAGGGCCTGAAAATATGCAGAGGGTTTGCTGCAGTCATAGTCATTTCGTTAATGAAGAAAAAAGTCATTGTTTTGGAAGGTATTTTTATGTGGAAAGTAGTGGAAATTAAGAAAGACATAAATAAGGAATGAAAATTTAGGTCTCACATTTAAAGTCCTACCTAGAAATATGTCAAACATGAACCTCAATATTTTAAAATTAAAACCCAAAACCATTGATCAAATCCAGCCACAAATATTCGCCATTCGTAACACTCATAAATATTAATATTTAATACATTTCCCAGTGCTAATTTTCCCGAATTTCGAAAGCTTCGTATTAATATGCTGCTTGATAAATATTTACATTTTCATGGTTGACTTTACACACAAAAATCATTAAAATTCAGAGGACTATTCCGCCATAGAGCTCCCTCAAGGTTGAGGACGAGACTGGAGGATAGAAAAAATTGTTTCATTTTCATTTTCTTAGTTTTTTATTTGGTTGTTATTCCTTGGCCACTCTACCGCCCTTCTCTTTCCATAAATTGTCTATAGCTGTCATACTTTTAGGCATTTAATACATTTTATGACTTTTTAGCAGAAGCAACGGCAGCAGTGGGTAAGATGGGTGGGAAAAAGTACCGATGGTGTTTGTACCCTGTAGTTCGCGGAGTAAAGGTTCGGGTGTGTTGAATTTGTGGTGGTGTAGGTAATAGATAGAGGAAATATGTATGTGTATGTTTTGGACCAAGAAACCCTTCAGTTTTTAAAACAGTTTTCTGCACTCTGGAAGATAAGTTTCTGTAAATTCGAACAATATTCACCTAAAGTTCGCAGTTCCAAGTTCCACAGGGTATCTCCACGTTAAGTCCTTCTTTAGATAGTCTCTCTCTCTCTCTCTCTTGTTTTACACTGTTTTTCCTCCTATTTTCCCTCTGTTTTCATTTGCTTTCTTTTTTAATAACATTCGTCGTTGATTTTTTTTTTTTTGTTTTTGTTCAACGCCCATGAGCGGTCCGTCGTCCTGTCTTGTGCTTTTCTTTCTCACTCATTCTCTCTTCCCCTTCTGACTCTTCTGTTCCTTATGCTGCTGTCTTCCTCTGCTTTTTCTTCCTTCTGCCGCTCTTCCTCCTTCTCCTAGTGCTGCTCGTCGTCCCTCTGCGGCTGCTGCTGCTGCTTCCTCCTGCAAATTGCAAATATGGGTATTTATGCCGCTGCCCCAGGCACTTGCCACGCCCCCGTCTCCTGCCCCTGCCAACCACAGCATTAATTTACCCCCCCCCCCCCCCCGCATTTTCCCATGGCATGCAACAATCTTTTATACGAGTTTATTATATATGCTTTTGCTTAAAACACACAATTTCCTCAAGCGATTTCCATTTCCACCCACTGATGGGTCTTATTAAGTTGTATGCCCCCTCCGTTTCCTGTTTCCCCCCTTAAGGACCCTCCCTGCACTCCTTGGGGGATCGTTAACTAACAAAAATATGATGACTGCCTGGAAATTGCCCTTTAATTGAATTGCACATAGATTTTGATACGGATTTTGGGGCTTTGAGTTTGGGAGTTTCTCTGCGTTTCCCCATGGTATTAAGGTTTTTGCTTTGATTTTTTGCTATGGCTGTTGGCTATTGTGCCACGCCCAGTCGACTAACGCCAATTTCAAGTACAAACTGGGGGCATTATTCAAAAGTCTCGGCAGAAGAATCTTCAAACTGTCATACGCATTTGTACGAGACTCTTTTTGACACTCCTTTTTTTGGTTACAGACTTTCCCACTTTATTCCCACACTATTTTTTGTGGGTTTGGAGGCGGCACTAAGGACCTCCATCACTACCCCACTTTACCACTTTTATACTTCCTTTTTCCACTATTTTTTTGTTTTCTTTTTTGTTTGAATAACATTTTGAGGTCTGGTTTGGGCATGGGCTTACGCTCTAAAGAATGAAAGAAAAGCGTGCACTTCTCTAAGTGGGTTTGTAGAGAGAAAGAAGTGGAGAAAAAGCAAAAGAGTCTGAGGGGTACAGGGGGGCTCCTCTCTGATGGTCAACTTACCAGCAAATCAAAAGCATTTCCAAACGCAACTTTTGTGTAAGAGAGAGAGAAGTTTGCACAGCGCTTTCTACGCGTCACACGAAGGGGGCAAAACGAGTGGAAAAAGAGGGAAAGAGAGAGTGGAACTAGAGATTGAGTGCAAATAAAATGATGTCATGAAGTGCCTGCTGCCAGAGGAAGCTAAAAGCAAACGGCCGCCGCCGCAATGCATGCTCCACTTTACGAGCATTTCCAGAGCCCATCAGCTCTCCCACCCCCACACTCTCTCTCTCTCTTGGTAGTAAAGTTTGCAGCTTGATGGAGCAGCCCCAGCACAAAACGTTTGCCACTGATTTCTTTTGCCCCCTTTGAGACCCCTTTGAGCGTGGTTAGTGTAGCCCCCATTGAGGAGAAGGTATGAAGGCTTTTGGGAGAGGTTTGCAAGCAAAAGAAAGAGCTGAAACAGAATCACAACAGGAATATGAATAGAAATTGATTTATAGGTGTATATTCTAGATATCTATATCTGGATATCTTCTATATATATAGATTTGAGCTTCTTTTTGCTGCAGAAAGTACCTCAAAGAACCGACAACCAATTGAAATAATTTTCTTGGGGAATTATGCAAAAATTTAACTACAAACTGTTAGATATTTTCCTAAAATATAAGTTGAAATCTTAGCGTCGGGTAGTGCATTTTCGCAGCTTCGTTCCCCTTCATTCCTGTAGAACAGAGAGAGAGAGATGTGATAGACCACAGCAACAGTGGAGGCAAAGCTGTGGACAACTGTGGATTGTGGGGCAAATGAGGGGCTTAAGGAAGGGCCAGAGACCTCAATGAACAAATCTTGACAAGTATTTTGTCAACTTTGACTGTTGGTTAGGAAGGCAGCAGGAGAATGGGAGGCATTAGAAGTATCAGGAGGAGTGCAAGTGGCTGATGGAGCAGGAGGAGCAGAAGGAACAGCCGAGAGAGTAGCAGCAGCAGTAGAAGGTGGAGAAGAAGTGCCACAATCTGCCATAGAAGTGGCAGCAGCACAAAACTACAGATGAAGTGACGCTCGGCAAAGTGTGGGAGAGAACTTCACCTCTCAGAAAGTAGAAGGAAAAAGTGTTGAACTTTAAGTGTTGCATTGGCTTTCCTTTCTCTTTTGGGTTTCTCACTCTTTTCTTTCGTTTTTTTTTTCCTCCCCTGTTCTATCCTTTTCTTCGGGTTTACCCTCTCCCCTGCTTTGTGCCTTGTGTGTGTTGTCATAGAAACTGAAAGTGTCGGAGGATTACAAAGAGAAGGTGCTGCTCCTGCTGCTGACAGAGTAGTGCATTGGCCTTGCAGCAGGTGCCACAGCAGATGCCCCAGAGATGAGCTGTAGAGATGGGAGTGGCAAATAGAGGATAGTCACGTTTTAGCAGACGAATGGGAGCAATGCTGGGGTGCTGGAAGTGTGATTGAGGATAAATGAAGTGCTTTGTTTGAGAATTTTGTTGGGAATTTAATTAATTGAATTTATTTATTTATGTAAATTCTGCAAGAAGTTGTTTAGTGTGATTGAATATCACCAAAACAGCATTACGCTATTTTCCGATGCTCCAGAATTTACTCTTATGATTTGTTTACAGCAATAATTCAAAATATTTCATTCGATTTATTTCTGGGAATTATTCATTAAAGTTTCCTCTTTTTGAATGCCCTTTTTTGCCATTCAAAAGGAGAGAGACAAATTTTCTCGGAGCCTGCACCTGAATGTCTTGAACCATATTTCTGCCTCATTTGCATTCATTCCGTTACCTCACGAAACCATCTCTAGTCCTGGATCTGGATTAAGGAGCCAGTCTGCCCTTAGAGCCCCTAGACGCACTCTTTGGAGTGCGGCAGCCACTTCTTTTGGATCTCCTTTGACTCTAATTAACTTGATTCAGTATGGCAGAAGAGCCATGGCATTGCCTACTGCCTTTTGCCAACTGCCAACTGCCTGCCATCTGCAATTCAATTAAAAATTAACATTTTAATTGCAAATTACTTGATATACTTTACGACGAAACGATGCCTGCCGCGAACCGACAGGAGTGGGAGAAAAACTCCACTTAAATAAAGTAACTCTCTTTCTTTTTTGGGCTACCTGGAAAAAGATGGAAAGCGCAGTGTGGCGGGTGGGGGAGGAGAATCAAATGAAGGGAAAACTGCAGGCAGGAGAGCAGTCAAATGAGGAAAGGAATTCAGAGAGGAAACTCCAGAGAGGAGTGGGAAACAGATAGGAGTTTAAAAGGGATTCAAGAAGTGGAGAAGCTGTGGGAGTGTCCTGCAAAGGAGCAGCAGTGGCAGTAGCAGCTGGGGCTCATTTCATGCCGTTTAATTTTATCATGCGCCAACAATTATGCAACTTGTTGGTTCGCTTCATTGCCAGGACCTCCTCCAGCACAGGACTTTGGCCAGAAGGAGTTTCCGAACGAGGCAGGTCCGAGGAGGCCTCTTTTTTTTTCGTTTTCAATTTGTTGCCAATAAAACTTTTTCCATTTCGGTTTGCTCACGATTGTTGTTGCTGTTCTTGTTGTTTATTCACTGAAAATTCTGTTCTTTCTGTTATTTCCTGAATGAAAATTGTTGGGAAACTGTTGTTTTCCATGTGCCTCGTCATAGTTTTGTGAGTTGGCAGAAAAACAAAAGGAAAATCTATGGGAAACAATAGGAAATTTTGTTCCTACTTGAGCAGGAATTTAGATTGTGATGAAAAAATATAGAGCTAATCACAAATTGGAAAGTTAAACTTGAAAGTTTATGTTTTTGTTGGTTTTTGAGTGGAAAAATCTTATTACCAATAAAATAAGTAGTTTTCAGGGGTTTTAAGTATTTTAAAATCTACTTAAAAAGTGAAAACAAATTGTCAGAAAATCAGATTTTATGAATATGAAATCTATGACAATTTATTTAACGATTTTGAAGTGACGCACTCAAATTCTTTATTCGTTCAAGTACTTATTCATTCAATCACTAAGTTTAGACTGCAACTATCACTCTTCTCATTTATTCATTCTCTGCTGCTCTCCTCCACACATCCCATAAATGTACTCCTTAAACAAGTGGCACCCTCAGCGTTGGAATTCCTTTGTTCTATTTTCTTCTTTCCACTCCATAAATTCCATGATCAATTTGCTGTCAATTTGTTATAGATATCTCCGCATCGTGTGTCCCTGTACCGTGCATCTGTCGTGTTTTGTCCATCCCCCCAACCCCCTTCCACTGCTTGTTGCACAACAATTGTTGCACAATTTTATTCCTGGCAAAACAAGACTTACTCAGTTGAGAAAGAGAAAGCTCTCGTTAAAATGAATAATGCTTGAAAAGTTGCTATTAACATTCGAATTTTCACAGAAATACAAAATTATTATTTTTATAGTTTATAGCTGCAATTTTTTTAAAGACAAAAATTATATTTAATATATTTGCTACGTTTTTTTTTTGTAATTTACATTCTTCTAAGGATTTGGAAAACATTTTTGAGGTTTTGTAGGGCGCTTTCTGAATATTTCTGCCATTTCTATGATGATTTCGCACCACTTTTCAAGGTTAAGCACTGGAAAAGTACTTACACATACAATTTCTGTCTGAGCTGGGCGAATGACGACTCTCCTCATGACGCTGTTACCCTTGAAGCATCCCTATATGGCCCTTTTGTTAATTGCTTTTGTAGACAAATTATAAAAACCCTCCGACAGTTGGGGCATTGTTTTGTGTGTTTGAGGATGCCATTCCTGAAACAAACACTTCAAAAACAGACAAAACCACGGACGTAACCATGACCATGAAAAAAGAGCGCAGCGCGCACACCAAAAAAGGATAAGAGACATAGAGCGAGAGCGAGTCCTTTCGGCCCTGTGTGTGTGTGTGTGTGTGTGTGTGTGTGCGAAACGGTGGGTCAGTTTTAATTTAACTTTGACATGCATCAAGCTCTCACAAAAATCCAATTACAAAACAGAAATACAAGCAAATAGAGAAGGGGAAACCCCCTTTTTTCCAGACTAGAAAAAACCATTAAAAGTCTATTTTTTGTGTGTGTGTTTTCCCGCCATAAAGATGAAGATTTATGAAACCATTAAAAAGAAGAAGGTCCATGAAATTGTATTGTAAAATTCGAGTGTGAAAAGTGCTGAAAAAACTAACAATGAAATAGCCAAAGGAAATGTCCAGTCAAACGTTTAAGCAACGAGGCGGAGGTGCACCTCCGAGATCAGATAGAAATGCGAATGAGGAGAATCATCATCATCAAGAGCAACAGCTCCAGCAGCAGCAGCAGCAGCAGCAGCAGCAGAGTGAGGTGGAGTCAGAGAAGCTGCGTCAGGAGCTGCAACCACTGCCACAATTGGGTGCAAAACCCAAGAACCAGAGGGAGAATCAAGCAAAGAACCAAAGCCAAAGGATCCTCCAAACAAAGACTGAAAATCAAAATCAAAATCAGCGACACAAAGGCCTCACTATGCAGGGTTATGGCAACTATATGGAATTGGAGTTTATACAAACAGAAGACCAGCCAGCAGGGATATTGAATGACCTGCCCGTGAGCTATGCCACCACCAGTGTGGGGGCACCACCACCCTATCGCGAGCCACCACCGCCTACACCGCCACCACTGTCACAGATACCGTCCAGAGAGTCGCGACTGTTGCATTCAGCACCAAATACACCCATACGTGGCAAGGTTGTCCTGAGCAAGAAGGAGCGAAAGGAGCTGAGCAAACAATTGGGCTTGGAGGATCTCCAGGGATTGCCTCTGGGCGGTAGTTCCTCGGCGCAGTCCAGTCCTTACAAGGGCAGAGTTAGCGAACTAAAGAACTGCATTGCCAGAGGACTATTCGCCACGCTACATCGGGGAACGCCGAAGGAAAGGGAACTGCAAATCAATCAGGAAATATCTCCACCACCGCCAGCACCAGAATCGGGCAACAATAACGAGGACGCGGCCGACTATGCCGAGAAGCTGAAAAATCTACCAGTGCGCCAGCGAAAGGTGGCCACATCCCACATGGACAACTATTGTCTGTTCGACCCGGTGGATTTTATCAATGAAAAAGCGATGCGATATCCCAGTGCCACCACCTCGCATGGCCTCAGGGATCCCCTCTTCAGTTCGCGACAGCATTTGGTCTGCGAAGACGAGGATGAAATGGTGCCCGAAGTCATTTACGACAATGAAGAGCTGGAAATTGAAGAGGATACCATCATTATAGAGACCTCCGCACTGCCCGAAGCGGAAACCGAAGGCTGTGCCGAGCCCAAGGATGTGCGGATACACTTTGATCATCACAATTATTTCGTGATTGAGCCAGGCGTATGCACAATGGACATTGGAATTCCTAATCCGTATACGAATGAGCAACTGGTGAATGCAAATCTAGAGCAACAGAATTTGGAGAAACTCTTCCAAGAGCTGGAAAATCCCGCCAGCATGTCCAACAGTCAGGAGTCGAAGGATACAGAGACCACTTCCACGGCTCTCGTGGAGTCTTCGACTTCCACAAATTCAGGGAGTTCCATGGGGAGTACTTCCATTCCGAATCAGGCGCAGCATTCCATGAAAAAGAAGTTGACATTTCTCAATCTTTCACCCTTTCGTGGTGGGGGTAAGAAATCGGGGGATAAAACCACCTTTGAACAGCAACAGCGAGCCATTTCGGAGCTCGTGAGCACCGATCACATGTTGCACTTGCAACAACTGCTGCATCAACAACGCAGGGATCAGCGCTCGCATACGGTTCCAGTGCCCACGGAATCCAATTATGTTTTATTTAATCCCGGACCAGTGCCCAGTCGTCATGTGCAGTACAAGATACGTAAATCGCGTCCCTTATCAACGCACAGCGATGCCGATAGTGGATTTTTGTCGCCTTGTTCGCCAGATGAAATGAGAGGAAATCCAGCCATATTGGTGCTGCAGCAATGCGACAGTGTTCAGGGTTATATTGAGGTGAGACATGAACTTGTTTTAGAGATCTTATATTTTGTAAAATTTTAAATATAAGCAGCTCTAGCTATTATGAGATTTTACTTGGTGAATTTGTTTACCTAAATACCCAAAAAATAATTCAAATTAAAAATGAATTTTTCTATACAGAAGTTCTCTCCAGCTGGCTGAATATTTTGTTATATATTGTCCACAGTTTAGTGAAACAATTTATTGCATTAGATATTATTTACAATCATATTAATAAACACAAAAAACTGTTTTCGGATGTCTGGCGAGTCGTTTCTGAAAGTTGATCAAGCTGTTGTCAGAACAACCAATTCTATTCCTGATTTTCTTCTGTTAGCAAGACAAGGCAGTGCTCTAGTTGAGTTTGAGGTCCCACCACTTCTAGTAAAAAGTGCATCCTCTCCAGCATTGGGTACCACTGGGGCCACAGCACGAATTGAAGGGACCATTGAAGGGGCCAAAGCAGGGATCGTAAAAGCCGCTGGGACCACAACCGCCGCAAGGGCACAGGGCAGCAGAGGGATAGCAAGGATAGTTGCACATTTTTCGTTGCTTCAACTGGAGCTCTGACCTGAAAATATAGTTCCATTTTGTATTATTTATTTTTCCCAAAATTATTGCTAAATTTCGTTGCTTACTTTTCAAGCTAGACACGAAAATAGGACCGAATTTTTTGGAGTTTATTTATCTCGACTCGAGAAACACTATGAACTGTACAAATATCTGTGTTGAACTGAATGATAATGTGGTGTGTGGCACATTGCCTGCTTGAATGTTGAGGCAGAGGCCTACTAGTTTTGGGTAAAAGTAAGCATTTTCTTAGAATTCTTATATTTGGATTATTGCAATATAAAGCAGTAAGCTATCGTACCCAAACGAATTCCTTGGAATCGGTTTAGTTCTAATTCACATTTTAGCAACCCAAGTACACCAATCCATTAAGTGTATATTTCCACCATTCAGACGAACCTTTTGTAGCTTTTGGCACTTCTAAGACTCTTTCAGGCTTCCCATACTTGTATGGACTTTTTAAATTCGTCTCTTAAAATACTCGTTAACCAAAATTACACCCAAAGCCCACAAAATAGCAGTGGGATGCTGCGGCTTATCTGTAACTCTTATTATCTATATGTATAATTTCGTGTATATCTTAAGCTGGTAATCATTTGCGGCTGCTCTGTGTGTTTCCATTTTTCCCTCTGCGATGTCGCCACACTTATCGCACCATTTGCCGGCTCACTTATCTTAACGAGCGAAAGGAACTTAACAAGTCTTATAATATGCATCTTGAAAGTACACCCCAAGGGAGATGTTGGATTATCCAAGCCACCAGCCAACCCCCTTTTTGTCAGTGGGTGAGCCAACCCCCAACAACATTTCTGGCATTTTTGGGCATTGCAGTTTTCAGTGTTTTCGGGTTGCAACGATTGAGATTTGTGTGTGTACTTTGGGGGGGGGGGGGGGGGGGAGGTTTATGGGCTGTTCTTTTGATTGCATCAGGTTTTCCCATTTTCCTCACTACTCTTCCGTGACTTTTGTTGCCCTCTCTCTCGCGCTTTGTTTTCTCTCTTTTGCTGCCTCCAGGGAGCAATCAATCGTCGCGTATTCTCGATGCTGGCGTTGCTGCTCGCTTCATTAGTTTTTCCCTCAGCCTGAAACATTAGTTTGATTGTGTGTGCAGACGCCAAAGCCAAGTGGCAGACAGACAGACAGACAGGTGGGAGGTGGAAAGTCCTCCTACCCTCCCAATTCTAGGAACACCATCTGTGTGCCTTCCATCTTACGCGACTTTTAATGGAATTGAATTAAAATTGTTGCCATGGTGTTGAGTGTTGAATGAGAGTTGTGTCAGAGAGAGGACTGAGAACAAATAAACAGGAAATAACAGAAACAACCGGCTAGGGGTGTACCATACATCCCCCCCCCCCTTGCAAAGAGCAGTGGCTTTCCTCTCTCCCCATTTCCATGCTTAAAAGAGCAGAAAGCTTTTTCCTTCCATCACGTACGCTTGCCGCAGGCATTTTCTATCATTTGCAAATTGAAAATGCGCGCGCTGTAAATTTTCTGGCTAGAAAAAAAAAATCCAAAAGAAACTGTGGAAAATCGAAGAGAAATTCCCCCTTTAGAGTCTCTCTTTCTTTGCCTTAGGGCAATTTTTAGCCCTAATGAAACGAGGAGCGAAATGAAGCGCACTTTTTGGCACAAAAGTGTCAAGTGCATTGCTTTTGCAGGCGATTCGCCATGGGCTGCTGATGGAGAGGAACGGCCACAGGGGGAGAGATGGAATGGATGGATGTCAATGGCAATGGCATGAATTTTATGGGGTAGACGCTTTTGGGGTCAACTGCTAGTGAAGGTTCTTCAAACGGAAAGCCATGGAAAACAGGAAGCCATCGGAGATAGGCTAAACAGGCAGTCAACAGGGGTATATCCACAGCAAATGGAAAGCCATGGATGTCTGATAACCCGGAGGAGGGTAAATGTCCACAGGAGGCAAATGGAATGTAAATTGGTATACACGCGGGGGGCAAACAACAAATGGAACATCAAGGACCTTCAAGAATGATGAGGTACAAAGGTACAAGAGCTAAATGTGGTAGCAGTAGTTTGTGAAGGGAAAATTAGTTTTTGGATGAAGATATAAGCTGGAAATGAAAGCGGGAAAGGTTAGTTTTGACAAAATGGAAAAAGGCGAGTTTAGAGGAAATGTTCACAGATTTCGCACTGATCACAGAGAAAATTTAAGAAAATATACAGGGAAAAGGTTTGGAGTAAATTCAGCAAATAAAATAAAAATAATGTAGGAAATTTAATTAGAAAGAACTATTGGAAAAACATGCGATATGAAAATAATTTGTTAAATAAAATATGAGGGCCTTTTAGGAGCACTTCTCCGACGAAAGCTGAGGCTAAAAGTCTGTCCTTTAAATCAAAGCTTTGTGAATAAAGCATCTGGTGAAATATGACAAAATATTTTATATATGAAAGCTACTGTCAATTTCTTTTGAAAATAGTTCATTTCTTTCCCTTATCCATGTATTTTTTCCTAAAAGCCATTTCAATAATCCCAAGATTAGTCCATAGTCAAATCGATGCCAATTTTCTGCCCCATTTTGCGCACCAAAAAAAAAGAAGGGAGAATAAAAATTGCAATTCATAATTATCGTGTGTACAATTTTGCACATATGGTGTATCCCAATATTCGCCGGCATCAGCTTCGTAATACCGAAATCCCGGCAGCCCCGGACATAATTATAAAATGCATTAAACAGTCGAACATTTATTGCCTCTGTCATAAATCAAAAATTTATCACAGAACGAGAAAGACCCAAAAAGAAAAAAAAATAAACCCCTGATCCGTGAACCGCGACCCACTGCTCCCTGATCCCTTCCCTTAAGGGACTCCACCACTCCACTGCACACTCTCCACCCCTCATCCTTAGTTCCTTTGCTGCACCCACTTCTCATTCTATCTCTCTTCTCTTCCCGCAGCCACACTTCTCTCTCTGTTCTCCCTTCAGGGACTTTCTGATAATCACCAAGGGAATGCAGCGACACTTTTTACAACTTATTGGACTAATCATCAGTGGTGGCTCGGGGGTTCCAAGGGGGGTTTCCATGGATTTCAGTGGTTCTAGGGAGTGTGTCCATGTTGTGGCTGTGGGTGTGTGCCGGTGGTGGTGTCCGTAAAGTAGCCGCACGACACGCGACTTGCCAGCGACTATAACCAGAAGAGGAAACAACACATTTTTTGGGTGCAACACCAACCACCCCTTTCCCTTTACGGAAGCACACAGTGGCAGCATCCGCCAAATGTGGCACTGCCTCTGCCTCTGCCTAACGCCCCTGCCACTGTCTGTAGCTCTCCGGCCTCCTCTTGCTGTAGCTCTACTGCTGCCTCGTGCTGTTGCAAGTAGCAACTATGCCTGCCAGTTGACAGCTTAGCGCCTCGCGACAAATATTCGGCCAGTGCGCACGAGGGTCCATCAGTGCCTGAGAGGTGGGTGGGTCAGTGGGTGTAGCTGTGTGGTTGCAAGCCAAATTGCATGCCTCAGTGCCGTTTTGCAATTTGCAATTGAGACTTTTTCGCTCAAGGAGAGGGAGAAATTTCAGAGAGATAGAGCACAGCCGCTGTTTAGGCCAAAAATCGTTGACCAACGCGAGACAGAGGATAGTGGACGGAAGAACAGCAGGCAGGAAGGGACTCTACTAATTTATGGTTATATTTCCAGCAGCGCCAGTCCCAACCCACAACCCGGCAATCGCCAGTCGTCAGTCGCCAGCCGCCAGCCGCCGTTTGCATAAATTCCAAAATGTTTTTGTTTGCTTTGACTTTGATGAAAAGTGGACGAAGGACCAAGAAACCACTAGAAATCCCTCGCTTAGAAATAGAAAATGGGAAAGCAGGGGGTGGAATATGTGAAGTGGAAAACTTGCACAAAGATGGTAAACTCTCTATGGGCAATTACAGAATTTTGACTTTTCAAATTTTATCTCACTTTTAGGGTAGCCGAGTGTCCATTTCTCTGTGTGTTTCCAGCTGTAAATGGAATTTTCTTTTTTGGTAAAATGCAAACATTTGTGTGGAATATATGTACACATTGGGTGCTACTGTAGGAAAATTTTAATTCTCATTTACTGATGCTGTAGAACATGATATTAGTGGAAAAAGTTAAAGATTTTGAGATTTGTTGGCATATTAGAGGATAGTTGATAGAGTTTTTATACCTAAATGCTCTGATAAAGTTTTCTTAGGAATATAATTCTAGAAAGTGTCTTCAAGGGGATTTCCTGTAATATCTCTATATTTTTTCTTTATAATTGAAAATTTTGAAAATATTTAAAATCACATTTTATGCGGCACATAAACAAAAAATTGAAATAAATAATTTTTTCCTATTTATCTACAAAATGTTAAAGTTCTCTTTTGCCTTGAAAAACCTCATAGTCAGCTCTTCATTCAATTCAGTTTGTGGATTTCATAAGTATTATGAAAGCCATTTGGAAATTGCATTTCCCTGAAGCGCATTAATCACGTGCAACGACCCCCCTCTGAAGACTAAAAGATTAAAAAACATTTTTCTGTATTTCGATACAATCGATAATTATGCAGGCAATTCCAGATGTGGATGGGGATACAAAATGTTGCAAAATGTAAGCAACTGCCACATGCAACTGTCAATATTGTACAACTGCTGCCAGTGCCCTGTGGGGCCTCTTCCCCGGGGCATGCCTCATTTAAAGGCAGAGGATTAAGCCTCCCATTGATGTGGTGGGAAAATGCATATTTTCTTTCTTTTCTTTAATTTCATATTTTCATAATAATTTTTTAATATTTCTGCGTTAATTGTATCGGTAGAGTCGGAGAAGTCGGAGTTCGGAGGCATTATCTTTTATCCTTGGTGGGATTTTTTGTTGGCAGGGCAAGAGAGAAAGCGGAAGACCGGCATCGCAATGGAAGGAGAGAGAGCCATTACTAATGCCCCACTTATGCCCCCGATGCATGCCCCACACACACACACACGTCCGGCATGTGACGTAAAGGACAACGACTTCTCTACGGACTTCCTTATTTTCCATTTCCATTCCCTTTCCCCCACTTCCGCCTCCCAATTGCAGTTACAGTTTTCGTTCATATTTTTCACTGGCATTCACTTAAAGTTTTCAATTTTCCGGCAGCAATAAGAAAGGCGAGGGAATTTTCCCAAAGGCCTTTTGGGTGGTTTTTGGCCAACATTTTACGAGTATTTACATGGAATGGACACTGCAGGAGACGACTC